TGTCTAACAGAATTCTCCAATGATACCTTCTGGGTCTAGAGCTCTTTTCCTGCCTCCTTCTGGGTTAATCAAATACTTTTTATTATCTTGTTTTACTTTCTCTATAGGCTCTTCAGCTTTATGTCTTTGTATTTGTTTCTAGGGCATTATGCTTCCTTAAATGACCACTGTATATTTAGAGTTAATATTTACCATTTCATGTAAATCATAATGCTCTTTCAACAGTAATTTCTACCCCTATTCATCCTTGTGCTATTGTTGTCATATATACACAATATAATGTTACAGTTTAAATTGTTCACTGTCTTCAAATAAATTTAGAGGAATAACAACATAGATATCCACATATTAATCATTTTTGGTATTATTCATCATTTTCTACAGACCTGAGTTTAAGTCTGGTGGTTTCTTGCCTCCCACCTAAAGGACTTTATAAGCATTTATATGATGTAGGTCTGCTGGAAAACTGTTCTCTTAGTCTTTATTGAAAATGGTCTTATTCCACTTTCAATTGTAAAGGATATTTTTGCTGGATATAGAATTCTGAGTTGACATTTCTGTTTAGTTTAGTTTGTTTCTTTCACCACTTGTTCCTTGAACAGTCCAAGCCCATTTTCTCTCCCAGCTCTCTATACTTACTGTTTACTTTCCCTGGACTACTCTTTACCTCACAGCTTAGTTCTCATACCCTTGGTTTCATATCACACTTCTTAGAGAACTCTGTTGACCATGCTATCAAAATCACCCTTCTTCTCTTGTTCTCTCTCATTATCCTTATTTACATCCTGTGCAACACTGTAAATAATTTTATTCTGTCTGCTTTATTCTCCCCTACATTCTTGGCATTCAGCAAAATAACTGGCATCATAATACTGTCACGATGATGTTTCTGTAATGTAGAACGGATGCAACTAAAGTTGCAAGGATGTCTAAAGTCTAGCTTTGCTAGACTTGAAAAGACACATGGAGTAGTCACATACTGTTCAGCTCTCCAGGACCATCTGTTCTACACACTGTGCTGCGGAATATAAATACAAAAGCGATGTACCTTCAAGAAGCTTTTTCAGACTCTCTGAGTTAGAAACAACCTCCCTTAGTTCCCATAACACTCTACTCATCCTGACTGTGGTACTTCTTATGGTATACCAAACACTGCTGCTATTTATATTCATCTGTTCTGTCTCCAACTGGACTGTCAGTTCCTTGCAAGCAGGGACTGTGTTTCCTAGCACATATTGGCAATCCTGCAGAAATCACCTTTAGGTCTGCAGAGGTTTTAGGATACTCTTAATATGGTATTGCACTGAAAATGAATTAAATAGGAAAGTTAGCATTTTTGTTTAATAAGACTCTCTAGTTCTCTGAGGAAGAAACAGCTGTATAATTCCAAAGTATTTGGATTTCAACTGAGCATTAATAAAGCCCTAAGTTCCCACTAAGGACACTGTGTTATGTGTGGGGGAGGACTCCTCTGCCCCTTCACTGCCTTTGTTCTTGTTTATATGCACTGCCTTTCTAGTTTATACTCCCTGTAGTTTGCATTGCAATAAGTGCCAAATATTTTCTGCCCACGCCTCTGTTCGGCTGCAGAGCATGAGAACTTTAATGGAAAGCAAGCAACAGATCAGAATATTTCTTTAGATTTGTTGGTGACCTTAAAAGTGCCTATTTTTAAACATAAATATTTATGCCTGTTTCCAAGATGAACCTCCATTTGTTATGAGACCTTTGATTAGTCTGTAGTCTGAAGAGGACCCATATAAAAAGTGGTTACCATTTATTATGACAGGATTGATGGAGAACTGTGGAGGGAGGAGGGCCTGAAGCTGGTTTTCATATTCTGATTCCATGCATAAAAGAGGAGATAAGGAGTCAAACAGCTCCTATGTATGCTGGTTTTGATAACTTACAGCCTCTGGGTTTGGGGACTTCGATAATCTTTCTCAATCATGCGCACCTGTGAAATGCAAATGCGCTGTAAGCACAGCTCTCTTCTATGGAATAACATTTTTAAGACCTATTGTTCTGACAAATTCAAGTTACCAAAAGGCAAGCAGATGCATCTATGGGGCAGTACTTTTTAAAGTGTGTGTGTATGTTGAGGGTTGGGGTTACTAGTCTGAAACTTCTTGTATAGTCCCAGGCCCCATCCAAAGCTTATAGGATCAGAATCTCCAGAAGCTGTGCCTGAGAATCTACATTTTAGCACCATCACTGGAGGCTGTATCCACACTCAGAAGTTTAGGAGTTATTGCTTGAGGGAATAGAGTCAACAGTTGTCTGTTTCATCTCTGAACCATTAGTCTGGGCCTGAAAAGTTTTGAATCCCTTATATTGCTTCCCAAGAAGGTTTCAGAGATCTGTGGTTTTGATACCATTGTAATGAGCTAGTTATTAATAATAGGAAAGGAGCAAAAAGGGAAGGCCAGACATTATAGGCATGTCATTTGGACAGCTTTACCAGGAAACTGCAACTTTGCACTCCCTAGGGAACCACCAGCCTATTCCCTGCAAAACACTGGGGAAGGGGAATGAACAAAGGGAAGATAGATGCATGCCTAATAAAGCTGAGTGACATAGGGAAGGTACTTGTCTGTCAGTCATACCTGGTAACAAAGATCATTGACCAGAATGGATGTGGCCACTGCAAGCATGCAAAAATTTGAGAATATATAATCCCCTTGTTTTTCCCCTCCCTCAGCTCAGTTCTGCTTGGGCTGTCTGTTTACTGTGGGAGTAGTATGGTATGGCCGGCTCTCTTTTTGTCTGCCAGGGGCTTTTGCTTTTCTTTCTTTACCTCAGCAGGTTGCCTCAGGTTCCTCCAGGGCTGAGGAATTCAGTGTCTCAGGTGAAAAAGGCAAAGTGAGTAAAGGTTTACTTGATAGACATATGCAAAGGTAGCACAGATGCTGCCTGGCCTGCCAAGGGTTGCAAACTGACTTCTCGTGGAAGGATTTCATGGCTTTTTCAGGAACTCAGCATTGCTTTATCTGAGCTAAATACCTCCTATGGGATCATGCTAAGCCCTTGGATATCCAGCTGAATAATTCTAACATCTTTCTGCTGAGGTCTCATTGCCCTCAACTCCAGTATTGAAGACATCACCAAACCAGCTCCTCTCATACATGGTACACACATGGTCTGTGGGAACTTTCACATATCTTTTGCTTTGAGAAGCTCTGTGAATACAGCTGTGTGCAATCCTACTACCTTTCTTACTTTGCCGTCAGAGTAGCTAACCAGCCACAATCTCTAGAGCTTTGGATCTTGCAGGTGGTTGAAAGTGTCCAAAACACTGCTTCCCAAGTGCAAGCAGGCATTCCTCAAGCTCTGTAGGTAGTTAACAGAATCCTTTCCCCATAAGTTTTAGGTGAGGGAGAAAAACTCCCCCCATCCTCCAGCTCACATGGAAGAGGGTAAATAAAACTGACTGTACTGTATAGCTCCATTTAAGAAATTCTCTACCTATTTCTTTCTTCTGTTTCTTTTTTAGACTGGTGGTGAATGATCAGCATGGGGCTGGAAACTGGTTCTAGATTACTTCCTTTGGATGCCCTGAATTGCGGGTCTCATATTCACTTTAGTAATGTAGGTGTAGTTAGCATCTATGCCTTAGGGCTTCAAGGTAGGGCTTCATCTAGACATTGGGACAGAAAGAGTTCAATTTTAACATCTCCTTGAAAATCATAATAATAGTTAATTTATGTTGATCACTTGTTATGTGTCAGCCAGTCTCTCATAGGTTCTTTTTACTCAGTAGTCCCCATAATTGTATAAGAAAACAGAAGTACAGAGAAGCCAAATAATTTGTATAAAGGCACACACATAGAAGGTTATAAAATTCTTCCAACAATGTGCATTATTTTCCTTTTTAAGAAAATAAGAATTTTGTCTCTTAGAAAGAAAACATATGCATTCATCAGGAAAAAATTGCTACAGCTGTTTAATAGCCTGGCTTTTACAATGGTAAAACATTGAGTTTTGGAGCAAAATTAATAAAAACAACTCTTATTTGCTAAGAATTTTAATATATCTTATTCACTTAATTCTTACAACAACCTTGTGATGTCGATGGTCTTGTCTTCATCTTGTAGTTGAAGGAAACTGAGGCCAGGAAGAAATTATGTGACTTACCCTAGGTCACACAACCAGAAATAATTGGAGCCAGGATATTTAAATCTGAAGTTTCAGGTCCTGATTCTGAGTTTCCTCTTCTCTGTGCTCTGATGGGACACACTAGCAAAAGCATATGTTCAATTGTAGGTCTCTGAACTGTGGCAAACATTTCAAGTTGTTTGGTTAAAGCTGCTTTCTAACATGTTTGACTCTAGATGAGTCAATGTTACAAAGGAGGGAGGTTTTTTACTAAACTCCTTGAAAGCAAAGAGCATCTTACTCATCTTGGAATCCTCAGCGCCTGATCCAAAGTTGATACTAATGAACTGGGTAATTAAATGAATAAATAAATATATAACTTTCTTTTAAACTCTCTGGTGGGAAGCAAGCTTGCATGTGAATTAGATTAATATATGATCCTTCTGAGTATTTACATTTTATAAGATGGTCCTGGAAGAAGAACCCAAATGAATGATGTGTAAGTCGTTTTCTGACTGTCATTGGAGTAGTGGTGGAGGAGGAACTGAGACAGGTAAAGTCTCAAGTTTCATGCAGATATGATAACTTACCATGTCCATCTGCCTTGAGAAAAAGTAGACTGCTTCTTTGCTTGGGCTACAGAATTTCCAGAAACATTTTACATCAAAAGAGTATATTCTAATAATGTCAGTCATCCATAAATGTAGCGGGTAGTTTCTAGAGTATTCAGTTATACTTCTGCTAAGGGACCTGCTGACTGGGCTCTGGAAGGAGGGATTGAAGTGTTGGTGGGGTGGACCAGATAAACTCTAAGACACACTATGCCTGAACTTTTGGAGACTCTAGGATTTGTTCAGGTGGTTGAAGGCAAGATGTAGCTAATCGAGTCTGTCTGTTTTTCACAGGTCTGAGGCGCAATTACAGATGTACCATCTGCAGTGTCTCTCTAAACTCAATAGAACAGTATCATGCCCACCTGAAAGGATCTAAACATCAGACCAAGTAGGTACTTTCATACTTTCACTCTTTAGACCTTTTGCATGTGATTTTTTTAGATGACAATTAAAGGCTAAACATTTTAATTATTTCAAAATAAATAGATGGAAACTACATCTCTTTATCTCCAAAGTTCCCTTGATATTTTGCTGCTGAAGCCTCCAAAGTCCGCTTAACACTACTTGAAGAATGGCTCTTCTTCTTTTGTGGCACAAGTAATGATAGGCTACCTATTTTCATTTTCAAGGACAGTTCAGCACATTTTATAAACTTCAGGAAACTTTTATATTTATTCTAAGTGTTTTTAAACAGACAGTGTTATCTCTGTTTGAAGGATGTGCCAGACTTCGGTGATGTAATGTCAAATTCTACGAATGTCTTCTACCACTTTACATTTCTAGATGAATATTGTTAATTAGCACAGAAACCTAACAAATCTTATGGTATATTAAATCATTCACGTGCATAAGTATTTCCAATTAAATGGAAGCTTATTTCATTATTTTTAAAAGAAATTCTCATGATTTTAAACCTGAAAAGGCTAATCAGGCATAATTTCACCCATATTTATACTTTGCATCTCTTTAAATATGAATGGCATTAGCTTTGTAGACCTTTTTAAAGTAGCTGCTAGGACTGCTAATAAAATCTAACAAAATAGGGGAAAAAAACAAGGAATATCTAAAAAACATGTAATTTTCCTGAGTAGAATTGTTTTTATTTCTCTCACATTTATTAGCAGAATCATTTAACAGATTTGAGTGTACCAAGTCTTCTTAAATAATAAATGACTTATTCAACAAACATTTATTGAGCTCCACTGCGTGTTAGACTTGGAGGTGTGCACTGGGAAATAAGAGATGGATTGACCCTGGCCTGCCTCTTGTGAAGATGCCTGCCAGGCTAGGGGGGGCAGGGTAGGGGCGGGCATGTAAACACACAGATTGTCCTCTAATACCATATGGATGCCCAGAGCTTTGAGTACTAGGGAGCAACCAGGGCAAGTTTATAGGGACATTGGTGCAGAGGCTGAGCACGTAAGGATGAGTTCATGATCTGATGCTGTTCACCACCAGAATCCCTAGGCAGCGCTTCATGCATATTAAGGGTTTCATAACCATGTTTGATTGGATGAATGTGTGATTTCAAATAACGAGTAACAATTTCCCATGCAAGGATATGAAAAAGGGGCATTCTGGGCAACAAAATTTCTTTGCAAGGATGTTTTGAAGACATAGGCCACAGGAGTTCTGGCGTCGGTGAGGAAATGGAAGCCCAGAGTTGGTTACTGATTCTCAGTCTTTTCATCTGTGTTGTGCTGTCTCATGAGTCGAAGCCACTTTCATGACTTGCATTACTCTGATCCACCCCAGAGTACTTCATCAAGGTCATTATGTAAAAAGATTTTCTCTGATGTTATAAAGTACCTATAGAGTGCTCGTATCGATTATTGGACACTGCTGCCCCCACCTTCTCCAAATAGTCTATTCATCATCTCTCTCGTATATTGTAAAAGGCACCATATGCATTCTAATTAACATGCATCTGATGTGCACACAGACACATTACAGGTAGCTGAAACAATAAATGATAATCTTTTAGAGACATATATTTATTGTTCTTAATATAGATAATATTCATATGTTATATATAGTATGTTACATACTTACAATACAAAAAGGTAGACAGTAGTAACTTTGAGTGGTATGAATCATGTAAATAACTAATGCAGACAGTATCTCCAGCTTAGGGGAAATCTCTGTCTCTTTGTGTACATATAAAACTTTATGTACCAGAATCTCTGCTAGCCATTTTCACATCTATTATCTCATTTAATCCATGTAACTACCTTAAAATAAACACTACTGCCTCATTATTTTATATGAGAACACTAAGGCTCAGAGAGACAAAGCAACTTACCCAACATCGCCTTGCCAACAATGGCAGAGTCGGGACTGAATCTCACCGTATCTAACTCCTGCGTATGCTTCTTCCATTTCACTCGGTTGCCACACAGGCTGGGAATGGCAGACTGCCAGGAGAGAGTGCTATGATGAATTTCGAAAAAGGGGACATTGCTTCCCTGGTGGGATTTAATAATTATACGTGACTTCAGAAGGGTACATCTCCTACTGTGCTGCCTTCTTTCCAATAAACATGGTTATTTTCCACCTCCAAAGCAAAGATTGCTCTCCTTCTGAAGAGTGAAATGAGGGAATGTGAAGAAAAGAATTGTAATAGCCTCGTCCCACATGCTTGCTTCATCTGCTCTTACACCTGATTGGGATTGTGTGTGTGTATGTGCATGTCCTGTTCATAAGCTACATCATTCCGTAATATTTTTGTAATATCCTTGTCCAGTTTAGTATCAAAATATACTGGCCTCATTAAACAAGCTGAGAGGTCTTCTTTCTATTTCTAATCCCTGATTGAGTTTGTGGTAAATTGCTGTTATTTCTTAAATATTAGGAAGAACTCATTCATGTAGCCATCTGGCTTGGAGTTTATACTGTGCGACTATCTTCACTGGAATTTTAATTTGTTTAATGAAGCACTGTTCGTATTTTCTATTTCTTCTTGGATCATTTTTAATAAGTTGGTTTTCAATGAGTTTGCCTATTTCATCTACATTTTAAAGTGTATTGGTATATAGTTGTCCATAATATCCCCTAATTTTATTTTTAATGTCTGTAGGATGTTTTTCATTCCTGATATTATTTGTATCTCTTCCTTTTCTTGTTTATTGATCACTTTTATTAGAAATTTATCAATATTTATTAGTTTTTTTGATGAATGAATTTTGGTGTTTGGTGTTTTTCTCTATGTGCAGTTATTTTCTACCATTTAAAAATTATCTCCTTCTCTCCACTCCCTTTGGATTTAATTTGCATTTCCCCCCCAGCTTGTTAACATCAAAGTAAAAGTTACTAATTTTTCAGTGTTTCTGTTTTTCCAGTATATGCATTTAAGATTCTCACTGTGCCTCTACAGATTGTTTTTACTATGTTCTGCAAGTCATATTTTTGTATCCCAGAATTTTTAATATGTGGTATTTTCATTATTATTTATTTAAACATATTTTCTAATTTTTACTGTGATTTCTTCTTTCACTCAGGGTTAACTTAGAATATTTGGGGGACTTTTCTATTTATATTTTTTCTGTGATTAACTTGTTCTACTGTGATCATAGGACATACTCTAAATGAATCAACCCCTTGAAATTTGTGTAGTCTTGCTCTGTACCCCTGGCATATGCTCAGTTTTGGTAATATCCTACATTCACTTTTTTTTAAGTGTATTTTTAAGTAATTAGGTAAATGCTCTATATATCAGTTACATTAAGTTTCTCAATCTTGTTTTATCTGTGTATGATATCCATGAGAAACAGAGGCAGTTAAAAAATTCTAACTAAAAATAAGGACTTGCCTAAGTCCAATAGAACTCTTAATTCTATTTTTAAAAATATATATATTAAGGTATATTATTAGATGCTTATAAATATAGGATGCTTTTTGTATTCCTATTAAAATGGCACTTTTAAATCACTTTTTGTCATCATGAAATATCCTTCTTTGTTACTAGCAATACTTTACTTAACATATACCAACAGCAGCTATACTAGTTCTTCAAAGCTTCCAAAATGTTTCCTTTAAACTTTATCCAGCTTTTATTTTGTTCTCAAATGAAAGGTTAGTGTTATACCAATTACCCTATCAGAGCTGATAATGGAACTCAGCCAGCCAAATGGTTCTTAACTATTCTAATCTGACCAATTAAAACAACATAAGTATTAAGATGTCAGCAAATGTCAAGGTCTTACATTTATATTTTTACTAGTAATTTCCAGAAAAAGTGTTGAGTCAAGATTATTAAATTGTGTAGTGGAAAGAGCATTGAATTTTAAGTCAGTAGATTTTATTCTAGCAAAACCGAGTGATCTTGGGCACTGACAAACCTTTAAGTCTCAGGTCCCTTACAGGTAATTAAGTAGGGATGACAAGAACAAGACAAATGCATATCACTTTTCATGCCTTCTTCATGACCCTGGTACTGTTTCCTACTAATCCTGAATTCAGCCTTAAAATTCTTTTTCACCCAGCTCCCCAATTAGCTTTTACCATTTTATTAGAGCTAGCAGTGTGTCCCCAAAATTATATCCACCTAGAACCTCAGAATGTGACCTTATTTATAAGTAGGGTCTTTGCAGATATAAACAGCTAAGAATCTCAAGATGGAATTATTCTGGATTTATTTTGGGCCCTAAATCCAATGCCCAGTGTCTTTATGAGAGAAAGGAATGGGAGACTTGCACACATAGAGAAGAAGGCCATGTGAAGACGTAGGCAGAGATTGGGGTTCTGTTTCCACAAGCCAAGAACACCAGGAACCAGCAGGGTCTGGAAGATGCAAGGAATGATTCTCCTCTAGAGGTTTTGGAGGGTGTGCCCTGCTGACACCTTGATTTCAGACTTCTGTTCTCTAGAACTGTGAAAGGATAAGTTTCTGTGTTTTTTGTTTAATGTTTTTATTGATTTTAAAGAGAGAAGAAGGAAGATGGAGAGAGAGAGACAGACAGACAGACATCGATTTGCTGCCTCCTGCACGCCCCCCACTGGTGGATCGAGCCCACAACCTGGGCATGTGCCCCTGCCGGAAATCCTCTTGGAGCATGGAATGACCCTTAACCAACTGAACCACACAGGCTGGGCATTTCTGTTGTGATGAACTACACAGTTTATGGTTCTTTTTCTAAGGCAGCCCTAGGAAATTAATACAGTATAAAGCCTACTTGACTTATTACACAAGTGTCCTTTTAGTCATACTTTCCCGGGAAACTTCTTGTCATGCCTATCCCAACAATGACAAGGTTGGTGATGATGCTGTTGAAGAAGATGGTGAGGATGGTAATGATGCCACCACTGATGTGTAAGGTGGAACTTCTGTTCGAGTGGAGGACAGCAACACATTAAAATGCTTTGAAAGTGATGCCATATCTAATATGTGCT